GTTCCAACCATCTACGACAGACTTCTTAAAGAAACATCCAACATAAACATCCTGATTACAACAACTTTTTTCTTTTGTCTCTTGTATCCAAGGTGCTCATTCCTGCTATTCACATCCATCTGACAAGCGCAAAAAACTGCTGTGCCAACCGCTGTGGGGTGAGTGTGTTCCTTTTGCACCGATTAAAGTTTCAGGTTTCCTCATTTGGGGGGAACAGGAAGTCAACCTTTCTAGTCTGAGATTAGTCATTGATATCGTAAACATTTCATATTAATGAGTAAAGGTCGCCAGGTGGTTAATGTTTATCCTGAATTATCTAACTTCGTTCATTAATTTGACAATTTGATCTTTATGTCACTAAAACAGCCAAAATAGTGTAGTTGGCCCACTGGACCTGTGTAATCCATCCTGGGATGATTCAGGGGACAATCCTTTAAGGCAGGGGTGGGCAATTCCAGTTCCTACGCACCAGTTTCCTGCAACTTTTAGATCCATCCTTGGTACAACACAGTTGAATCAAATGGCTGAGTTACCTCCTCACGATGCACTCAGTTCCTCCAGGGTCCTACTTCATTCAGGTGTGTTGAACCAAAGGCACTATTGCAGGATAATGGCCCTGAGGAGCTGGAGCTGCCCACCCCTGCTTTAAGGGATGTCAAACTTTCCTTACCCAGACTGCAAACATCAAAGACGCTGGTTTCTTTGGGGTCGGACAGAATTGGTGGAAGGAAGCGGCATCTTTTAGCCGTTACAAAACCAAAAAACAAAATGTCTGTGAGTGATTTCAGAAAGCCACTTTGAGACATTTGTTGCGACTGATTTATGAGAGCTGATTTGACGGGTGGGCTGCGCAGTGGGGCATCGGGCGCCACTGCTGCCTTGCAGATTCAGGGTTGGAATCCCAGCCCCTCTGCATGGAGTTAGCATGTTCTCCCTGAGCATGCATGAGTTCTCTCCGGGTACTCCGGCTTTCTCCCACAGTCCAAAAACATGACTGTTAGGTTAATTGGCTTCTGTAAATTCTCCTTGGGTGTGAGTGTGTGAGAATGGTTGTTTGTCCTGTTTGTCTCTTTGTTGCCCTGCGATGGACTGGAGACCTGTCCAGGGTGGACACCGCCTCTTGCTGGACACAGCTGGAGAAAAGTACCAGCCCCCCTTACCACTCCGCTTGGGATAAGCGTGATGGAAAATGGATGGATGGATTTGACATGTCGACAAAGTTGTTCTTTTTTAGTGCAACCTCCAAGAACCATTGTTTGGAACTGTCCCTAAAAAGAAAACAACAAGAAATTGGCTTCCAGGGAACCTTATTTGGTGTAAGACGTGACGACAGGGTTTAAAAGTCACAGCTCACGATGTATGTTCTTATACTGTATGGCCCGACGCTCTGCTGTGATCTACCTGCTCACACTGCACGTCCAAAAAGCACATGTTGGACTCAGCGGCGAGAAATGGTGCTGGTTGGACTCGTCAATCTGGAAGAAGAAGAAGAACTCTCTTGTTTGCAGTGCAGTGTGGACACTCAGTTAATTCGGCTCGTAGCTCTGCTTGAACAGCAGGATTTGCTGAAGAACACCTCATGACTGATTTCAGACATGTTTGATTTTCTCTTGACCTCACGATTCCTGATCGGGAGGGGGTCGTTAGAGGCTGATCGCCCCTGTTACCCCCTGTATACTACACGACGCAGGACGCACTATAAGGGTATAACTTGTCCCGATCCAAAAAATCTGAGAAGTCTCCCCTGAAACGAGCAAAATCTCGTACAGTGTATGCCTGGCCTTATATAGCATTATTTAAAGTCGGGAGACTTGGCCAAAGAGCTTGGTGAGCTACATGGTAGCCACAGCTAAACTGGGGCTCACTGACAGAAGCCAGGCTGCCGTACGCTGGCGAAATCAGGCCTTCTGATCACCATCTGTAGGCAATGTGAATGAGTTGATCAGTCTAATCAGGTAGAGGTGTAGTCACCTGGTAATCTGACATCTGAACGTGGAAAGGTAAAACATTTGAAGGACCCAATCATCATTATCGTGCTGACTCTACTGTACGGGCCGTGAATTTACCACCTCTAGACGCCCGTTTGCCTGGTGTACCATGACTTCAGTTTGAGGACTAAAGAAACATCTTTTAACTTTGACGTATGTTCTCTGTGTAGATGTTCCTGTCCATTGGGTTTGCTGCCATCGGAGTCCTGGGGGCCATTTACAGTTTGAGTATTGCTGCCGTGGGTCTATCCAAAGGGCCCGTCTGCTTTTATGAGACTAAATGGCAAAGACCTTTCCAAAACAGGTAAGTAATTTTCCTTGGACATATTATTTTATTCTCATTACACAATTTGTGTACTTGTACTCAAGAATTTGAAGAGGTGTAACTTTTTTTTGTAATTGTGCCAGATTAAAAAAAAAACTACAATTACAAAACACCAAAGTTACAATCCACAAATAGTTCTGGAACATTTGGAGAGAAACTGAGAATGTAAGAAGTTTTTGATGCGTAACTTCTAGAACAGAATTTGTGTGCTTGTACTTGTGATTTTTTTTTTCATTCTACAAATACAAAACTAAGACTGTAACTTTCTCTACAACTTCAAATTCACACTTACAATGCACAAATAGTTTTGAAACAAGATAACCTTCATAATTCAGCCCTACGCAGCCATGCTAGCTTGCACTGGAATTGCGCTCACGCTAAATATAGACGCAAAAACTGAAAAAGAGATCAATCTCAGGTGTGATAAACTGCTTTGCTGGTGGTAAGTATTCACACATGCATGCACATACGTCAAAAACATCTTTATCACCAATGTTACACAAGCAGTTTGTTTCCCAACCAGTTAGAAGATCAGATTTTCACGCGCTAACAAATCGTAATTATTGATGTTGAAGATCAGGCCCTATATGTTTAATGTGATTGTTATTTTTTTCTTCAGTAATAAATGGAGCTCTTCTTTTTCTTCCTTTTAGTTCTGGAGGTTATCTGGATAACAAAAATGTATGGGATTTGTGCGAGCTACCAAAACATGTGGTCCAGTTCAATCTGGGGTTGTTCTGCACACTGCTGGCCGTTTCTTGCCTGGAGATTATCCTCTGCGGCATCCAGATGGTCAATGGACTATTCGGCTGTTGCTGTGGCACCTGCTCTGGCAAGGATGTAAGTCTAGGAGGATTAAAGCCAAATCTCTGTCAAACTAGAACTCCCGCAATAAAGCCTCATAATTAAGCATACGTTTTGCGAAATTGGTCAAGCATGAGAAACCTTCTTAGTCCTTGAGGTGGCCGATTAGAGTGGCTAACCACTGCGGACACCAAAGCACATCCCTTTGAACAGGAAGAAACCTCCAGCAGAACCAGGCTCAGTGTGAGCGGCCATCTGCTGAGGCCCACTGGGATTCAAGGAGACAGACGTTAGTCACAGTCAGAGAAACAGGACTACACTGGAAAACAGGCCAAGCTCCAAGGATGGAGTCACAGCCAAACAGGAACAGACCAGATGAAGCTACTATGAGAAAAAGCAGAGAGAGCAGAACGTTAGAGATTGAACTAATAGATTCTGCAGAGTGGGAGAATAGAGATAGAATGAAGCAGAATGATGAAAAAGGGGTCCCTATGTCCTCCAGCAGTCTAAGCCTATAGCAGCAGAACTATAGAGATAGATCAGGATAACCTGAGCCACTCTAACTAGAAGCTTTATCAAAAAGGAAAGTTTTAAGCCTAGCCTTAAAAGTAGACAAAAATTAATTAATTATATTTAAAAAAGTTTGCTTTAATCAGACAAAAGCCTTAAAAGTTATAAACCAAGGTTACTCAACATTCACCCTGAGGTTTTTAAATCAGTAAAAGAGATATTTCTCTAAAACTTTATATAAAAGAAGCTCCGTCTTTTATGAGCTATTATAGAATATATTCTGGTCATAATAAAACTTAACACTAGTTATGTTGCAACTTTAATCTGGTGGCATTAATACTTTAATCTTGTATTATTTAAACCTTATCTCGCAATGTTACGCCTTTAAATGTTATCATTCTGCTGATGTAAGGACTTTATTCCGCTGATGTCAAGGTTTTATTCTAATGACATTTAGGGCTTTAATCTGGTCATTTTACGACTGTAATCCTGCATTCTTATGATTTCATTCTCATAAACTAATCAATGTGATAATTTTTTAAATAATTTTATGACCTTATTTTCTTCATTTAAAACATACGTATCAGTGTGACCCTTATATTCTGTCATAGTCCACTTGGAGACAATGAGAACTTCTTTTTAAAAAGAGTGAATTTTGAAAACATTTGTTAAACTTCTTTCTACATAAACGCTCTATTGGATCAATAACTGATCTTCTGTGTTCTCCACAGTAAGGCGAAGTGGACGTACTTCACACCATGACTTCTTGACGAAGAGCCGAGAGCGACCTTTTATTCTCGCCATCATCACTTTAACCAATGTTTATCATTACAACAATCACAATAATCACAATTACAGGCTGCAGCTTTTCTGCTTGTGCATAAATAAAATATGAACTTGTCAAGAGGATTGACTGGGATTACCGCCGATTGTCTCTTTTTGCTTTTATTTTCTTTTAAAGATTGAATATAAATTCCATTCCTCATGCATTCTTGAGTCTGTGATGTTTGTTTTAAATGTTTTATAATAAAACTGTGAAAGTGTCACATTTATGTCTCTTTAATGTTAGAATGAAACCACATCTGTCCAGATGTGGTTTGGATTAATAACAACATAAAGGTAACTTTCTAGTTGGAGTAATTTGGATCAGGGGCGTATTTAGGAAATTTGGGGCCCAAGGCAAAAACAGGCAAGGGGCCCATTAAGAAGACAACACATAAAACAGACCCATTATACAGATTAGTGGGGAGTTACCATTAGACAAAACTAGGCAGGTGCCTCGGGCCCTAAGATCCTGGGGGCCCCATAAAATTCCTTTTACATGTATGCTTAATACATTTATTCCTTATTTGTGCACATTAATTATGTTTTTGATAAAAATCCTTTGTCTAAAATGCCATCAGAACGCTGATAATATTAAGTGTGTCTCAGCCCCCCCCCTTCAGTGTCCACCATATTGGATCAGTCCATTTGCTGCACATGTTCAGAAAGGTCCAAACAGACAGCAGCAAACCATTTGTAAACAAACCATGCAAAGAGCAGTGTTGCTAACTTAGCGCTTTAGTGGCTATATTTAGCCACTTTTCAGACCCCTCTTGTTATGGTTCTTATTTGTTGTGACTCTGAGTTTTCAGTTTTCTGTTATCAGTTGTTTAGTTTTTATTTTCCATGATATTCTAGCGTTCTTTAGTTACTCTCTGTTGCCCCCTGGTGATTGTTTTCTTTCCCCCTTGGATTCTCTCTTGCCAGTTCCACCCACACCTGCTCCCCATTCAGCTCGTTAGTCCATCCTTTTGTTTGGTTCTCCTTAAATACTCCACCT